CCGTCTTCCAAGAGGACAATGATTGTTCTCTCGAAGGCTTTCGCACGAAAAGATGACAAAAAATATAAATATTGATGTTTATTTGATTTCTTTTTACCGAACTTGGGGGCTCCTCGGATTCAGAGAAAGGCGTAATTCCCCCACATTTGGAACCTTGCAAGGGGGCATCGTGTGTGAAAATAGATCTCATGGCTACATATGTAGGAATGGCAGGTTTTGAAAGCGGGCTTGTATAACGGGCGTTCAATCAAAGTACTTAGCTCTCAAGAAGCTAAACTTGTAATGATTGGCATCGCGCCCATAGGCGCCCACCACAGCCCCGGTGAGGATCGAACATAGATCAATCATAGCCAGAGATCTCCGAACAACAGACTGAGGGATTACCTCGCGAACCCACAAGACAAACTTTGATTGGGATGGTCGCAAGCGTGGTTTGACATGATAGTTACCTACAAGACTCAAGCCTCCCCGAACCATGTCCTTTAATGCCCGATCCCAATGGTTTCGGTCGTTGATGAAAAATCCGCTAACGCCACACAATTTGTTGATGACCAACCGTACAACCCCGGCAGATTCAGTTGCATGAAACTATAGGCGTCGGGAAATGAAAGCGCTACCGCGTACCGTCTACGGCATATGTCCAATATCAAACGTCAAGATTGTCGTCAACAAGAAGATCCATACACGTCATTATGTGTGGATAGTGGCGTCGGGGGGGGAGGGGCGGGGTATGGGTGAGGCTTGATATGCACGAAAGGAGACACGACTCTGATGTGATTGATTCAGCGCCACTAGGAATCCTATGGGCGATGTAGAGAATATCGTGTACTCGGAGCACATGGGGAGCAGGGTTAGAGGTCAAAGATAATTCCCTGTGAAATCTTGAACAGCGAGTGGGACTTTGACGCCTTGGATGGGAACGAGAACAATCACCCCCGCAATTTGATCCAGCCGAGAGGTAATACTCACCGTGGACTTTGACCGCAAAACCTCGGCGGACCTAACGGTGTAACCGCGGTCTCGGTCGAGCGTCGCGTCTTCGTCAGCTGGCTTAGAAAGCCAGAGGGTGGCGTCGGTCATGAATTTAAACGAAGGTCCGAGCGCAGGTTTTCGAGGAGCAGACGCGCTGTTCGATTTTGGTATCAGAAGAGACGTGGTGTTGATGACCTGGTTGAATGGTCAGGATGTGAATAGCAAGGCGAAGTGGACGCCTACGCACTATGATGGGGCACGAATGTGATTGAGAAAATATTCGCAACTGCCGCATGAACTCTGTCATTATTGAATGGCCTTGTGCGGAGACGGCACTTAGGAGTGGGCCTAGCAACGGGGTTATGGCGTCAAACACGACGCATGAGAGGCGAGTATCGGACGAGGCACTGTACTGATTCGATGTGAGATGATAAGTCCCTATGAATGGATACACCTACACACTGTTGCAACTCATCCAAAACGTTATACGCGGCTTCAATATCAAAAGCCAGGGATACCTGGAGTCTGTCCAAGGCAGTAGACGCACCCTATCAATTCGCATGAGATGTATTCAAATTTAGGATGAAACAGATGGGAGAACCTCAAAATCGTATGTTTTAATGATTGATGCAGTTTGTTCTACAGAGAAGTCACCTGTGGTGTCGATCCACACAACATGCCCATCAGAATATTCTGACAGATGCCTAAGGACGGTATTCAAAACCATCGTCTGTATTCGTTAATTATATGTCCAGACAAATAGAGCGATGTCACACTCACCGTCTTTCCAGATTGCCTGTCGCCCGAAATCTCAATCACGCGACGGCCTCCAAGTCCTCCCATGAGATCATCGAGGCCCTTGACACCACTAGATAGAACGGGTGCTCGTTCCTGCGCTTGCGTTTCCTGAGCCAGGAAATCAACACCAGAAACACCTGGTGCGGAGGCCAGTGCTGCGGTTAGAGCTACCGCACGCTCGAGATCCAAGAGGGAGATGTCAAGTCCAGAGGGTAATCGGCGATACACGTCAGTAAGTGGTTGGAACAACAGGTCAGAATCTGTTCGTATGCCACATCCGTCGAGGGTGGTCACGATCTCTGCAGGAAGCGACGGTATCAGCGCTGCCAAACGCATGACTTTTGGGCAGCTGATCAAGAATGGATTAGAGTTTCTTTGGGGTCTCTCAAGGTAATTTTGAGAAAAGCAAAAGCAAGTGCAGATTTGATCTGGGACGTGTGCCAAAAACTCGCGGCATATGGTTCAATGAGAAATGTCGACCCAAACAACTCGTATTTGGCAACAACCAGAAGAATCAATACGCCGGAGACGTTCGTGTTACGTAAGTTCCACTCTTCACCATCCGTCGTTCGTAACAATAATCTAATGGTGAGCTCTACATTCTGTTTCACTTGCGCCCATTACTGAGATATGGACAGGGAGGAGGTGCTAGATATCCATATCCCAAATACGTGTGGTCACCAGCCGGTTCGTTGTTCAGCCCCATGCGTTACATCGGACAATTGGTTTAACTAAACGCTGAACTCGATACATAGGTGGATGGTGGACACGGCCATCTAACTGGCGCTCAAATACTGCGATGGCCTTTGGAGGCATTTTCGCTGTGACAGCCTTTATTTGGTCTGTCAGTGCGGAGAAAGAGGTGCGTCCTTGCCTGTTGCGAATACTCATATGTGTAGTGCTGAGAACGTGTGATGATAGTACCGGGTCAACCCGCCTAATCGAACTATACCTTCCATGCGGGTGCGTTTCTTCCCTTTTGGCTTCCTGTCCGGTAGTTACTGAGAACTGTTTGTAGTGGGCAAAACAATATCAAAAGCCAGAGGAACGGTAAAGGGTGCTGTCAGGACAAGCCTATCTCAATGCTTTTGTATCGCTCTCTGTGCCAAATAGATTTCCAATTTTTTTCTTTGTGTGCCCTGAATATCTCTCTCCAAATCGATTGATCATAACCTACCAACGCAGAAGTCTTGATTATAAGTTCACCGGCAGGTCCCACGGACGAAATAGCAAGGGATTGCGTAGTTGTTTGGTACGTGGGTCTGTCATACATGGTCGGGCACTCGTTCGTTAAATAGCAATAAAGATATGTAAGTGGCGTTCTTCAATCTTCGTAGATCCGGACCCCTCCTCCTCCCCACCCCATCATGACAGCATTCCCATCTCCCGTGGGTTGTGTGAACGCAATTTGGCCTTTCGTTGGGTCCAGCGGACAACCGTGTATGAAGGTCTCTGCCGCCGCAGACAAAAGGTGGCGCGCGACGCCCTGTCGACGGTGTGAGGAGGGCACAAAGAGTCGGGAGATTCCGAGAGGCGTTGGTAGGGGTTTCGGGTGGCAGAAGAGACCTGTACTGGAGTCGACTGCTATGAGAGGGGTGGCGGTGTTTTCAGAAGACGGGTCGATTGCTTTCTCGCATTCGGCGGAGGAAGCGATAGCCATTGCAGTCGATATGCGCTGGGCTATCACGCAACCGGCAATCTTCTCGCGGTTCGAGGAAATCAGTGAGGGAAGAAGGAAGAGATAGGCTTTGGAGTCGTGGAGGATTTCTGGTGTGAGAGGTGGAGAGGACAGTGTCAGGTTGATGGTCTCGAGCAGTGAGTTTAACTGGAAAGAAATTATTAGGCATGACGGGTGGATGTAGACATTGCTCCGTACCTTCTGTCCAATCTTGCCACCAGCATCGGCTTTGAAGTAGATGATTCGTCCTCGTTTACCGTCTTTGAGCCGGATGCCGCTCGAAACCTGCACAATGCCACCTTTGACCATCTCTTTTTCCTCCTCTCGGCCCCATTCCATCCCCTTCTGTATCCTCGTGCAATGTGTGCGATGCAGGCTCTCGTCGTCAGGTGCGCCCTTTGTGTAAGACAGGCCACATCGTGGACAGGCCCGCAGAACGGTTTGGTCGATGCAAAAGTGCAGCTGCGTGAGAGTCTTTTGCTTCGTGATGCCCTTGTTCTTTAGCGATGTTCTGGCTCGCTTGCTCGGAGGCTGAGAGCTCTTTAATGAAAGATTGGACTGCTCCTGTAGAGGCCGTTTTTGTTTGGGCGATGCTTCATCGGAAACTGGTGAAGATGGTGGAATTGACGGTGCGGAGTAAGAGCGAGATATTGAGGCTTTCTTGGACCCGTAGGTGTGCTTTACTTTGGAGGACATTGTGGGCGGGAATAACAGTGGATTTTTGGCCGAGGCTTTTGTTTGGAGAGTCCAGGCGCGTTGTTGATTCTTGTTGACTCAGCGCGTCCAACACGTGTTTCGTGTCGTATGTGATGCAGTTTACTACTATTGATGGTCACGCATTGCAAATGAGGCAAGCAATGCAAATTTGCGAGTGCGACCACTTCCACTCACATTGGGCCCTATTCCTTTTAGGTATTACTTGGATTAGTATGTCGAATATCCGATCCACTTTTACAATGAAAGATTTCGGTTCGGGTCTTGCGTATGAGGCATCGAAAAGTTGAGGGACACTGAAAATCGTGATTTCCGGGCATTCTAGCAAGTTGAAGAAGATATGTTGAATATAGGTGACTTCATACAACATTTACCATGGCATTATAGCACCTTCTGATGCACTTACCGGAGAGATGGCGGACGTGGAAAGCCTACGATTGAGAAAATTGTATTTTCTCGACCTCAAAGGTGACAAAAGCGTGACGAATTAATCATCAAATCTGTTGATGCCAACACCTCCAGCGTTATTTTGGCACGAGTTCAGTTGATCGGCACTGTTCGGGGACGTGACATATGTTACCCGAAAATTTGCATTGCTTGAATTTGATGGCTTTTTCGACACATCCTCTCGGTCTTCGCCCGATGTCATTTCTTCAGGGAATATACCCATAATAAAATTCAGATCGTGTCTACAAGGAGCTATTCTAGCAATGTAGAAAATTCCAGGTGACGGTCGTATGCGGATGGGAGGCTGCGAGGCAAGATCTCAAATATTTGCATATCGCGGCCAACAATAGTACTCACGGCTCTTGACTCACCTGAGTCATTGACTTGCATCGCATTAATGGGGTAGTGGTAACCTGGGTCGTTGCCATCTCGAGAGCTCATCTCGACCCGCCGGGGGTTCGATTCCCTCTTAATGCATGTTTTTGTAGTGTGAGACTTTCGTCTTACATTGCACGAAAGCAATATCTCTTACATATACTCTTGAGCGTCTCGGATAAAATTTATTAGGCAAGAAACGTAGTGATATACATAGGATATCTTAGAGTTAAAATTAGAGGTCACCGAACCTATCACAAAGGGTTAGAAAGAGAACCATCTAGAGCAGGTTGCACTTACCTATCAGGCATCATCACCGGAGCCAACAAACTCCAAATATACAAGAGCATGCACACCCAGCTGGATACGACCCGCATCCACATAGCTACCTCAGACCGTCCGATATAAACATCTGAGTCTGGGTCCACAGTCCCCGTGATAGGATGTTTAGACACTACATTCCTGAAAAAGACAACAGGTGATGTTCTGTTTAGAAACAAACATGATTGTGAGCCTGGAGATCACCCACCAGTCCGTCAGGAGCATCGCAACGTACATCGCCGCGATGGCAAATATGACATGGAACCAAGAATACTATGAGAGGGTATTAGGACTCGACGATGCGCGGGAAAAAAAGAAAAAACTCTGACGTTGTAGCGCGTTCCAGTACGCTCGTCATCACGAGTTTCGCCAACAATATCGTCCTCGTCGTCGGAATCCTCTTCGTGTAGGGCAGATTCAGGAATAGCACTGTTCACACTGAATGAGATTCATTGTTCCAGGCCTGGGAACAAGTACTTACCCAGCTTCGACTGCAGCCAACAGCGCTTGATACCTGGGTGATTCCATCCGACTCGGCTGTGTCGTGACATAACCCAACTCGGAGTGTCCGCCCTCGTCTTCGGGTAACTCCACCCGGCCCTTCTTCCCTTTGTTGCCTACAAGAGCACGACTTTGAGTTGCAGCGCGCGTTGTGGAGTACGCAATGGCTAAAAACGTAAAGATCCCGCCGAAAACGACGACTGCCTTACGGGTGCCCTTGCCGTTTCGCAATGGATTGCATGACAGAGTTTCGTGGGTGTGGTTGCTGATTGCAGAGACGATGAGATATGTGCAGTACGCGGCGACCATCCCTGCTTGAGCGAGGCCAGAGCGGGGATTGTGTTCTTGGACAGTGGGGTGCACGCAGAGCATCGTTATGAGAACGCAAAGCGCGAGGTTGAAGGATATGAAAAATCGGTTGAGCGTACAATCCGCACCCGCGAAGTAGGCATACAGAAGCCCCGTAAGCGTGAAGGTGAAGACGTACATCCCGGCCGTGGAAAGTATTAGAATCCATTGCCAGAAATTCGATGATGAGTTCTCCCAATTTTCGAGGCACATTTCAGACCAGGAATGTGCGAAGTCGATGAGGAGTACAAGGCCGAGGAGGATAAAGATTGTGGCACCGATGAGAGCGACATAGTTGCCCCAGAACATAAAGAAGCCGTTAGGAATAAAGAATGAGACGCCGATTAGGATGAGCCATAGTAGGACCTTTGGACCCCACCAACTGCAATATTCGTTAGTAAGAAGAGGACCCGAAAGAATAATGCGTACCCATTCTGAATAGCAGCACGTTTATCACGAGTATCCTTGATACCGATGAGAGATAGACTGAGGATGAAATGGAGGAGTGAAAGGGCAAAGCAAATCCGGTGAACCTGGTATAGATTTCAGACGGCCACTCAAGGGTGTAAGGCAGAGGAACCCACAGCGAGAACCCCATAGCACTTCTCTTCCGCACAGTCCATCTTGATATATCCAACGCTCCACTTTTCAATCAGTTTGATTGCCAGGTCCGTCTTCATAACCCATGCCAGAATTGAATTGAGAGAGAGTATGATCTAGCCGGTCGCCCATAATAAGCCCGTAATTTCGAGGTTAGGCATGTTAGGACATACCGCGAATCCAACACGGGTCGCGATAGATGAGTTGCAGTTACAGGACTTGAAAAACATGGAGGCTGCTGCGGGTTTAGCTCACGAACAAGGACAAATCGCAGAAGTTCACTCGCCTGCTGTAGAGGTGCAGAAGAAGGCTAATCCTGCTAAGCAGGAAGTTCCTATGGATGCCAAACCACCAGCCAGCGGCAGAGATAGGAGCAGACCCATTGTTGTGAGCTCCTTGGGTGTGGCGAGATGATGGAGTAGGTATGAAGGGCTTGTTGGTGTTATGTGATGGACCTGTCACCCAATTATGGCAGGCGCCCCAACTCGCACACAACCACAACTGACATGGTGATCCAGTCATGGCCCATCCCACTTGCATTGCCACTTTCGCTGTGGTACAGTACGCGATTTGTCTCAAGGTGATCGAGCATCTTCACCGTACTTGGGCAATATCCATATAAACTGGCTGCAATATTACTGTTCAACATTCAGTGCTTCAACGCGCTCAAAGCCACGTCAATCAGCCCTGGCCGATGGATTCAGATCTCTTTAATGCGACACCGACATGGGAATGTCTTTAATTATTGATGCTTCCTGTGTTTGAGTCTTGTTCCATCTTAACGTCACATTCTACGCTAATCCATGACATGATTCAGACAATTGACGATGCCGTTTCAGACAGCTTCGAACCTCCTGAACCATTATTGGTACCATCACACACTCTCTTTGGAAACTTTTTCCTTCAACCTTTTGACCACACTGCACGGGATGCCACTCGGGCTACCCCTTCTGACCTCTCCCTTTTACTTTTAGCTCTATCCAGGCCACATTGAGCCGTCGAAGCCGCCCTATATTGCATGCGAGTAGTCCCCGAATAGCCCTGGACAACTCGCCTGGGAGCGTGACTACGTTCTCACTGTAGTTCCATGATTATCACGCGATTCTTTCTTGGAGCTACTTATAAGCCACTGTCAGTCAATGTAGCGCTCTTTCACGAGAGGAACAACACCCTCATCCCCACAGTATGACTATCTCCCATCTCCTTTGTTTGGCCCTCCTCAGCTGCCAGGCGCTTGGTCTCAACATCTCGATTCCGCTGGCTCCTCCATCAGCCGCACCTCAAGTCTCTCCTTCTCTGGTTTCTTTTTCTATTGAACAAGATCGGTGGACCGACTGGGCCGGGAGCACCTCGCGCAACCAGTTCTTCTTCAATGTCCTCGACAATCTCAGACAACTGACTGGTGCACCTCCACGCGTCAGAATTGGTGCAGATAGCGAGGATCATACCAAATTCAATGCAGCCATCGGGGTACGTTTATATACGATATCTTAGTGCAATATGCTCATGATTTTTTTTTTCTTCAGGCTACACAATTGGTGTTCCCTGCACCAACGACGATTGTGCCATATCCTGAAGCCACCAACATCACTGTCGGGGATGCATTCTATCAAGCAACACAGTTCCTACCACCCAGTAAGGCAGCAATACTTCAAAACGATTTGCTAAGTCCATTCGCCAACAGACACTCACGTCACATGGGGACTAAACTTTGGGCAATTCAATTTGACAACTGCTTTCCTCGAGGCGAAATCAATAGCTAAGGCCTTTAGTTCGGCTGCTATTTTGAATGCGGGTATAGTTTTGGATGCGATCGAGATCGGCAACGAAGCCGACCTGTATCGGAATAACGGCGCTCGACCAGGGACGTACAGCGTAACACAATATGTTCAGGAGTGAGTATAATGTCTGCTGATGAACTTCCACTAATCATGATATTGACACATCTTCTGTCAGATGGACCACTTTCGCCACGAACATATCTGCAGCCATGGGAATCTCATCCACTTCTTCCACCAAGTTTTGGGGCGCGGCCTTCGCAGGATCATCACACTCTTCCTCAAATGGAGGGTTCTCTCCGCAATCTGCCTTCAGCGCAGGCTTACTCACGTCAGCTGCAGGAAAGTCGATATCAACGTGAGGATCTTTTGCTTTCACCAATTATATCCTTGACATTCTATCCGCAGGGTATCCCAGCATCACTACAGTGGCTCATTCTGTTCCGGAAGTGAGGGGCTTCTACAAGACCTAATGACCAAGTCCACTGTCCGCGGCAACCTTTCGTCGTTTACGCCTGATATCGCCGCAGCGCGCTCACAGGGACTTGATTACGTTTTTGGAGAAACCAATAGTTATTCATGCCATGTGGGCCAAAGCCTACTTGTTCTTCTCGTTCCGACGGCTCACGACGCATTTTATAGGGTGCACCTGGAGTCAGCAACACAGCGGGAGCCTCTCTGTGGGCTCTAGACTATGTACTCTTCGCGTGCGTATCTCTTAATTGCGCAAAAAGCATTTGGCTTACATCGTCACCACAGAACGCAGATTGGTATCTCTAGAGTCTACTTTCATGAAGGGATAGGCTACAAATATAACCTCGTAAGGCCTGGACCTTTTCTTCTAGAAAGTTCGCCTAAGTAAACTTCATCAGATCCAACCAGCGACTTTGACTCGTTCGATCTTGGATGGGTCGAATCTCGCTAATCCACTCCCACCTCACGTTCAACCTTCTTATTACGGTGCCATCATCGTCGCAGAAGCTCTCGGAGCCAGTGGGAGCGCTCGTGTGGCCGAAATTTCTATCAGTAACGCTCAGATCTCCGGATATGGTTTCTACGAGGGAACGAAATTGGTTAGGGCGGTATTCATCAACTCCAATGCTTTCCTTACAAGCACGGGCGGCAATCGGCCCAGTGTACACCTCGATCTCGGCTTCACTGGAACCGGTACAGCGCCGGCCAAGATCAGTGTCAAACGTCTCGCGATAGGGTGAGTCTTTTTGTCTTTGAATCCACCAACTCATACAGCGTCACTCATTCAATCACCAGACATGCTGATGATCAGTCGGGGTTGACATGGGGCGGACAATCTTACGAAACGGCGGATGGACGAGCGGGTGGGTCTGTAGCTGTCCAGACTGGAAATGTCGCATCTGGAGTGGATATCGCTGCGACTGAAGCTGTATTGGTTAGTTTTAGCTGAGATTTGTTGTGAATGAACACTATGTACAACCATCATAATAGTCGGTACCGTCCTTAGAGATTGACTTCAAACTTCAGGCACTCTGTTGTATCGTCTTCGCCGAGTATTGCCCATCGAAGGGTCGTACAAGG